CAGATCATGTAGAAAAATGTGTGTAGTGAGAATTTTTATATAAGACTATTTATTTAATATGTTTGGTAATCCTTTTCATAATAAAATAAGTCAAAATTTCAGCATCATCCGATTTTAGCATCATCCCCGACATTAATTAAGGTAATAAAATAAACTAAACTAAAATCCTATAAAAAAAATACTCATAGAAGCGCTGGAATTGTTAATGATATGAATTATCTTCACCAATTAAGTAATATGTATATTATTATGTCTATTCCAAAGCTTTTAATAATATATTATTACCTAATTAGTAAAGCATTAACAGTAATAACCGCATTATTATCCCTTTTAGTTAATATGCAGTTTAGTATAGTAAAGGGTTAAAACAATAAACCTCATATTTAAAACTAAAAAAATCCTTGCTTTTATACTTGCATTGTCAATTAAATGCAACCAAGCAAAAAAACTACCAATACTACAATACTTACGTAGTTTTTCTTAGTATCACACAATTTATCACACTTATATTAACCATGTTAAAAAATCTGGGGTATGAAAATACGGAAGCCAATCCTCCCCCCAGATCTGAAAACGTGGAAACCCATGCCAATTTAGAACCTAAAAACGCAGTAGCCAAAACCCAGAATATTGCCACAGAACAATTTTTAAACGATGGCCAAGACGACCAGAGCATTTGCGAAGTAATTCTTAGTGATCAGGAAGACGAAAAGACATCTGACAATATGTACTCCCCTTAAATCTATGCAAATATATTTACTACAAGAAACAATTGTTAATACTAATTTTTTCCTCAATTCAATTGTTTTCTTTTCTCATTATTTTTTTTCTTAAATTTTCTCCTTTAATTTTTCCCTCATTTTATTAATTTTTTTAATGTGATTCTCCTGTTAATATCATCAATAAAACTTAGTAAAAAAGTTTACATTACCTTTTTAATCAACATTGAAAAAAAAAAATATAAATAAAAATAAAAAAAATGATGTAGACACTAGCTAATAAATTACACGTAAGTTGCCATTTCAATTTCACGCTATTTGAGACCTGTATTACAAGACTACTCGATAATTAGATCAAAAAAGAATAAAAAAAAAAATACCAAAATTAAAAAAAAAATAAAAAAGAATTATACTAGTGTACAAACGCATTACCCTAACATATAAACCTTCAACCATAAAAAGAAACTTGAATTACGTTATTCATCGATATTTTATCTACGAATATGAAAGCAATGCCCCATCAAACTCAATTAAAACAAATCAAAATAGACAAGATACCACCGTTTTCCAATCTTATATTTATCGTAATGAAATAAATCAGATTGGCATAACTGAACCCACATCTACATTACAACTTAGCGCACCTACAATCCCACTTATAACTTTCTCACCATGGACACCATCATCTGCATTAAAAAAACTTCTTCATGAATTCGAAACAAAAATATTGCATGATTATTCCCATATTCTATGCTGCTACTGTTCAATTTTAATGTTTCGTTCTGTGACCCAATGGATAACATATGACCCGGATGAAGACTACACTCTAACTATAGCATTTCCTGATATTCTCCTTAAGCTACGTCACTTTACCAACAAATCCACCAAAGTGGCCATCTGCAATAGCTATAAAAAACCAAAAACTAAAAAGTTTCTACCAATTCTACCCAATATACCTAATAAAATAAGTTTAGTACCAATGTATTACAGAAAATATCTTTTCACAATTCATATGACATGTTCATTAGGTTGCACTCCAGGATCAAATCCATATACAACATATTGATTTCTGCAGGGCAATTTTTTTCTAAGTAAAAATAGTCATTCGCTCGACCTTTACTCCAGGATGATTGGTGCTATTTTAAGCACTAATGAACCATCACGATGGTATTATGATACTCTTTCTACTGTGAGCACTTGGTTAAAAAGAAACAATTCTATATTTCGACAATACGTAAACATACTCAACGTTAACTCACCTTCACCATCAGATTCAATACCAGTCCCTTACCTTTAGCATGACAATCTTAAGAAAACTCCAACAACACCCTGATAAGAAATGTATCTCATATCCCAGATATCGTAATCCCTAATAATGCATTTTCTCTAGAAACGCACAACAAAGACCAAAGATATAAAAGACTCATGGCTGGATTCATAAAATTGGATGACTTAACTTTACTTATATCTTATAGCGATCCCGACCTAGAAGCAATAATTTTCTCTAATTTATTTCCAACCGGAAAAGGTTACTATGAAAATATACAAAAACAATTAGACCTTCAATCAAACAATGAGAGCTACAGAAAATATATTAAACTAAAAATGCTCTGCTCTGACTCAAGATTCAGGTTGCACTGGTACTAGCCGCACTGGTTCTACTTAAATCTTAAAAAAAAGTGTAATTTTCAATATTGTTATAGATTATTAAAACAAAAAAATATATCACGAGAATATCACCCAACAAGAGCAGCTCTTATAGGTATAACTTTTTTTTATTACGAATCCTAAACGCAATTTCCTATAAAAAATTAAAGATAAAGAAATATTAATACAATATTACAAAAATATCCCATATTTTAAGTCCAAACTATCATATATTAAAAATCAGCCAACCTAACGTAATTTTTACTAACATAATATTTTACAATGTTTCTTAAAGGTAAAAGCGTATATACCGGCCAACCAATAATTGATAAATCTAAAACTACCTTAATTCACTCAAGCCTAAGAACTGCCACACCTTATTTCAAAAAAAAGAAGCTTCAAATAAATACAATGCTTCGATCATACGAATTACCCCAAATTTTCTACACTATGATGATGGCAGAAGATAAATAGACTTACCTTAAAGATATATTATTATCAATCGACAACGGAGATCCCTTAGTTATAGAAAAATAATAAACTAACTCAGTGGAGCAAATTTGAAAATTATTTTGAACAAGACGGAGATCCCTTAGTTATAGAAAAATAATAAACTAACTCAGTGGAGCAAATTTGAAAATTATTTTGAACAAGACGAATTTCAAAATAGAGGTACTATACATACTCACAGGTTCACATACACCAGTGTAAAAATCCCAGAACTAATTAAAGAAAACATGATAAGAGCTGATTTACCAGATCGAACCCAGGAACCTGAATTATACCACTTAGTTATAACTTATCAAGTTCACAGGTTAATCTCATTTAGCTTGTCATTAAAAACTTTCTATTATCATCAAGCATTAAATATTTTTTTATAACTTGATGTATATATTTGATTGATTAACACAGTAACAATCAATATAACATTTACCAAATCTACTACACACTATAACTTTACTAAATCCACTCACCTCAACAATCCAATATAAATATAAGTATCACCCAAACAAGTGCGAGGGCCCCACTCTAGGTAAACTTTGTAAAAAAGATTTCCCTCAACCCTTATCAAACACAACATATAGAGATAACTGATTACTCAGGTACATATATAGAAGAACTAAAGAAGAGGACCGTTGGATAGTACCTTATCATCTAGAGACTCTACTAATATGGCAAGGTCACATAAACTTTTAATACATTACTACAATAGGTTTCACAAAATATGTAACAAAGTACGTAACAAAGCCTGAGCTCTCAGAAACTTTCGACATTGATGATCACGATAGTTATCAAACTCACATTCAAGCAAGAAGACTAGGCATGATAGAATTAATAATCTTACTACTCTAATATCAAATTACAAGATCAACAGTTTGCGTTCAGTATTTACCCTTAGCATCTTCTTACTTACGCACTAGATCAGTAAAGCCTATCCATCTATAACTGATAGCCCAGGAAAATGAAGACGATAAAGAAAAGCCCTACTGGGATGATGCAATAGATAAATACTTCGATCGTCCTAATAATGACGAATTCAGAAATATAACATACCCTGAATACTTTCAAAATTACAACATAAAACTTACACCTCCATCCCAATTCTTAAGACAAACTTGCACTAAAGACTAAAAAAATTGTTACGTAACAAAAAGAAAAAAACTCCTACTGGTAAGATTCGTAAATTACAAAATAGAAGATGGTAAGTCTAATATCCTCATCATAATTCGATCTTAACCTACAATGCTACATAAAAAAAACATACCACTGTTATATATATAAAAATACTCTGCAACACCCCAGCAACTATATACTTAATAAACTTTAAAACCACCTAATTACTTAGTATTAAATTAAAAAAAATATAATAAACACTATAATCACAAAAAAAAAATAATTTGTTGTTACAATAACACATACTTAGGTGAGCCATTCTTCTTCAACATCTCATAATGAAAGTTCCCTCCTACTCAGAAGAAGAATTACTTGAAAGCCATCAAAGTTACCTTGAAAAATTCAAATCATTATTTCTCAACGAATACGAACAAGAGATGAATAGATTAACTAATACTACCATATCACAAGAACTCTGTACCTCAAACGCCTATAAAGAAATAATAATAAAAATATTAACCAATTTAAATAACATAGAAATTCATAACTTAATTCTTAAGCAACTAATTTCATTAGAATGTAAAACTCTATCTATCGACTCACACTGTACTTTAATATTAGACCAAGACCAATATTTGATCTATGACATTCTCTGTAATTCATGGGGCCTAAAAAACAAAGAAAAATACCCTTACTTCTTTCTAACTGAATCTGCCGGCACAGGTAAATCGTATCTCTTATACTTAATAATAAACCTCCTAAAATCCAGAAGAATCAACAATATCGTAATCGCACCAACTGGAGTGGCTACACAAAATATTGGCGGTAAAACCATCCATTCAGCCCTGAAAATAAGACAAACTCATTCATATTACAAGACTTTAATAGCCCAAGATCAAACCGCAAAAGAAAATCTAAAAAAAATAGAAGCTATAATAATAGAAAAAGTATCTATAGTTTTTAGTGATTTACTCTTATTCATAAATAATATATTCGGCTCTATTCACAATAATTCCAAAATATTCGGGGGAGTTCCTGTACTTCTAGTAGGCGATCTCTTTTAATTACCACCAATAAATGTACCGTACACATTTTACTCACCTGTATAAAAAAGATTCTTCTCTCTATTCCTAACCCAACCCAAGAGACAAAGAAATGACCCAGGTTTCTATAATCTTCTCCAAGAATTATGATATAACTGCCTATCCGAAAACTCAAAAAAAATGATCACTAATAAAAATTAAAAACTCAAATCTTGAATACAATACTATTACCTCTACTCACCTCATAGACATGTGCGAAACAGCTAAAGAAATTAACAAAATAATATGTGAAAACCTCCTAACAACGAATATAGAATAATCTCAATAACTTCAAAAGCCATTGATACCCTCAATCGTAGACCACTAGACATGACTAACTATACCAACCTAAATTTTAATCATCATACAAACTTACCTGACGAATTGATTTTAAAAGAAGGCGTGAAGGTGATGTCTCTAAACAATAAACTATTTGACTACAATATTTGTAATAGCACAATTGATATAGTTACTAAAATAATAATAAACAAAATCTTGAGATTACATTCTCAACTGCCACCGATATCATTAAACTAAACGTACAAAAAGAAAAAGTCTACTTTGATATTAACGGAAATCTAGCATCAAGATATCAATTTTCTCTTCAAAACATATTCGTACTTACAATCCACAAAACCCAAGGATTAACCTTACCTTACACAACATTAAATGTGGACC